GCTTTTCTTCATTAACTGAGTCGTTAAACAATAATTCCAGACGTTTAAACAACGTACTCTGACTTAAAAACTGCAAATGGAATGTTTAGAAATCTGTTATAAACCACCCTGTTATGTAGTAATCTTTAAATAAATAACATAGTCAATATGAAAAATATAGTTGTTGCGTTACTGCTGTGGTAGGGATACTTACTGCTTATATATATATAATAATAATATCTATCTTCATTTTTATGTAGAGCGTTTTTCAAGGCCTCAATCACTTTACAATACATAGGTCTTATATACTATGTTATATATATATACTATACTTATATAGTATATATATATGTATAATGTTAATTGACAGATGGGGGATTGGTATACCTGCAAGTTTACTAAAATACTGTATTTTCGGACTATAAGCGCATGGATTAAACGCGCCAGGTAAGTTGATGTTGTATATATAAGCCGCACTGGACTATAAGCCGCAGGTGTTTTAATGTTTAATTACCATATGTAAGGGTTCGTGCACAGAGGGGATTGTCGGGAAAGAGATGGCTGTTTGAGGAAGCTCCCATTTATTAACATTTCAACAAACAAGTTGCATATTTGCATAACGTATTCAAGTGTTAGCATTTAGTGCAATAGTAGCTACAGAACATGTGCTGTGTAAACTGTACTGTATCACATAGCGTTTCAGACACACACACTTTTCAACTTTCAAACTTAAACGGTGCGCTCCCAGCGCACGTACCGGCAGTGATCTACAGCCGTGGTTTTCAACCAGTGGTACGGGGACAAACTGTCTCGCTCTCGTAATGTCTGTCTGTCTTGCTCTCGTTCTGTCTCTCGTACCACTCTCGGTTCCACTTTTACTTTTGCGCGCTACCTGTCTCACTCTTTTCCGGCCTCCAGCTTTTCCTGCTGGAGCCCGCCGCTTAAAGGTGGGGGGCGCGGACCGGCCATAGAGCCCATAGAGTTAAAGGTGGTGGACTGTAACCTGTAAAACCCATAGATTTAGGAGGTCCCCTAGTGGCCGTTAGCTGTAAAAATCCATAGATTAGCCGCACCGTTATATAAACCGCAGCGTCGAAAAATGGGAAAAAAGGCGCGGCTTCTAGTCCGAAAATTACGGTATATACAATGACAAAACAGAACACTCACCGCAGAACTAGTCAGGGAACAAGACGAACCGACCAAGACAGACAGAAAACCCAGAACTTAAATACACACAAGACTAATCACACAACAAGACACAGGTGAGGAGGGAGGAGAAAACACAGGGGCCCAGGTGAACATAATCAGACCATTAGACACACCAGGGAAACTAATGACCAGAGGAAAACACAGGACCAGACAATAACCCAGAGGAAAACATGACATGGAAAACAGCAAAAACACCCAAACCTACAAAACTATAAACGTGACATAACAAGAGAATCGTGACACGAAATGTCTGAAGCTTCAAAGGCTCTTGCTAACAAGTGAATAAATTAGGTTAAACATCATCACGCCAAAACACTAGCCACCTTTAGCTTAGCGGTGTTGACGCTCAGCCAGTTGACTGTGTTTACAGACTAACCTTAGCTTTTTACATCTGGTTACTGCATTAACGCTTACCAAATTATAAAAGTGGTGTTAACATGTGAAGATTATCCTGCTCAACAAAATGTATAATCCACATGTTTACCACAGATCTTATTTTCTGCAATCTTTCAAAATCCAACGGAAAAATCCCATTGCTTTTTGTCGAGGTGAACTTTGCTATGCTATAACTTCCGCGTTGACCTTCAACCATCTTTCATCACTGCATCACTCTATTGGCTCATGAAACCTTTCAGCCCTCAGACAGGAAGACAGACATTTAAACATCTGAAAATCCTCAGGGAGCCTTAAGACATGTGTTACTGTGTGGTGGCTCTCTTGAGTTTCCACTTTGTGACGGTGGTGTCGCAGAAGGCTGAACAGATAAGGGAAGGTCACAGGAAAGGGACATAGGAGAGTGGATGGAACGAGGGTTTGAATGTTAATGCTCACAGATTCGGTTTCAAACTTTAGTGTAGAAAGTTTCTATTAGTTTCTACATTTCAATTTGAATCTAAATTAAATTACTGATCTCTTAGACCTAATGGCCGGATGAATCTCCATTTCCCGCCCCGCCCTCAGACCACTGGGCCATGACTCAGACTTAAGGGGAATAAGTTATTTGTACCCCACTAGAATAACAGTTGACTGGAAAGTCTTTTGAAAAACAACATGGCAAAGTTAGCAAAGATGTAGATGATGTAGATGTTTTATTTTGTGTCTTCTAGTTTATTTTATAGAAGCTCTATGGTTTTATAAATTAATTGTAATGCCTCTTCAAAGGGTGCTGTTTAGTACGCATGAATAAAGCTTCAAGAGTTACTTTAATGCCTGTTATTGTTGCCGTATTCAGTTCCTCTGAGCTACACACCTCTCACTTTCCTCCTGATGGTTGATCCTTATAATAAGAAACAAGGTAGACAAGTCTCTGAGGACTCTCTCATGGTTCTCCAGCTTCCTGCTAATGTGACCTAGGGCTGGAAACAAAGGAGGATGTCTTTCAGACTGTTTTGATTCTGTAAAGAGGCTCTCGAGGGCTTTCTGTCAAATTGACCTTGAGACTGACGGAGACTTTGTTCTCCTCCTCTGCCACGTCCACAGGGACACACTGCTAAGCAGCTGTTTGTGTGTTCAGTCATCGCTGCTTTCATACGAATAAAGCATTAGGACTTTCTAAACGGGGTACTGATACGTATACTATCATTTATACTCACTTTTATCTCTGTATGCTGTTTTGTAACGACCATGTCTAAAAAGTGGTGCAGCAAATATGTATTTTTGAAGGCTAACCCAGAAGTTAACATCGCAAGGGCTCTCTTGATAAAAAGCAAGGGAGTTTTCAATCGGCTTTTTGAATATCGAAGAAAGTAAGCTCCTCGGCAAACACACCATTTGTAGCAAACATATTTACACCAATAGTTGAAGTGCTAATGCAATGGCTTAAGGGAAATATCTAACTTTATGCTATGAACTAACAGTCACATGACTTCACGTCAACAACGCTAAGCTAAATGCGGCTAATGTTCAGCAAGATGACGTTAGTAGTCTTATTTATTCACTTGTTTGCAACTGCCTTTTTAAAGACACTTAAAAGCTTCAGCCATTCACGAGTGGGGTGTTTACTGACGTCATTCATGCATACATGAACAAAACATGAAAATCTCGTAAGCTTGTGTTTTAACCGCAAACCTTTTCAGGCATTTAAACAAAATCTGATTAAAAAACCATTGACTTTGATACGAGGGAACCAGGAAGACCCAAAATGCTAAATAATTCCCAGGTTTTGGACTCATTCCTGCAACACGCTATTTAGTGGTGTAACTGATGTCTTTTTTTATGTTTGTGTGTTGATTAGAGTGCACTGAGGACAACCCATGTGAGGGTCTGAGTCGACACGCCACCTTTGCAAACTTTGGGATGGCCTTCCTCACTCTGTTTCGAGTTTCCACAGGAGACAACTGGAATGGGATTATGAAAGTATGAACACACACACACACACACACACACACACACACACACACACACACACACACACACACACACACAAATAAATGATGGCTTACTTATCTCATAACCACAGACAGAGCAATGACCTCCAAAACCAATTATGACATAATAAAGTGGCTTAGAGCCGAGCAACGTCAACACTTTATCATCTCGAGTTTTACTTAATTAAGAAATGTTACACTGATGTAATCGCTAATTGACTCGAAAATATATATTTGAATACGCNACACACACACACACACACACACACACACACACACACACACACACACACACACACACACACACACACACACACACACCAAATGCAGACAACAGTTTAGAGCAGATAAGGACGAAACATAAATCCATTTAACTATTGTATGAAACTTAATTTGAGAGGCATTATCCACCATTTACTCCAATAATATTACTGTCTGGACACTAACATAAAAAAATGTTCTCCATCTGAATTTACTGTTTCCCTAACTCATAGTAAATTATCACATGTTGTTAGTTGTTTGTTGTTGGTCTATGATTATAGAAAGGCAGATGCTATTTGCACCCGGGTGTCTACAGTGAACACTGCTATATTCCCCCGGGTGCAAACAGACTGTTATATACAATGTTATGTGAGTGGCTCATAGTAAATATGGGATAAACTACAATATAAGAAACATGTCATATAGTAAATACACTTTTAAGTTTCATTTGACAAAGAGAAGTTATTGATATTTTGTAGATCTCATTTATATTAAGGATAGACTACATATTAGAGACACCTATATGCATATTATAAAATACATTGATTTATGCTATAGATAATTTAATTTGAGTCAGAGATCTGTTAGGTTAGAT